CGCACGTGTAGGGGTCGCTTCCAGATCTTGAAAACGGCTTGGCCGATTGAGCTCAAATTCGGTACACCGCTAGAGACCGGCGAATAGGGTCCCATGCACAAGTCAATTGGACACAGCTTGCACGTGCGCACGTGCAGGGTGACGCTTCCAGATCTCGAAAATGGGCGGGCCGATTGCACTCAAATTTGGCACACCGCTATAGACCGGCGAATAGGGTACCGTGCACGTCAGTGCGTAGCACACCGACTCCGGTCTGCACGTGCAAGGTTCATCCTCTCGTTTGGCGGTGGGCGTTTTTGCTGCGTTTACAAAGGTGCTTGCTCAAACAACCTGCGGTCCCGCGATGCGGAGCCCAGCATCGCAGATGCTGGTAACCGCAGGTTGTTTGAAAAGACAAACACTATTCGTTAGAATTGTGTTTTTCTATTGAATAACCGCAGGTTGTTTGAAAAGACAAACACTATTCGTTAGAATTGTGTTTTTCTATTGAAAAACAACCGGAGCGGTCCTTCTCCGGGCTATGTTTTGCAAAGTTTGCCGCGAATCAGTACAACTTGATTGGGGCCTAGACGAATCGATCAATCTTCGTAAAAAGTTCAGTGTATGGGCTCCCGCAGGCGATCTACCTGATGGCATCGGTCGCTACTCGCTTAAAACCTCGTGGCACGTGGCACGTGCGATTCCATTTTCCCCATGTTAAGTCTACGGGGTTTTGGACACTTTTTGCGCGATCGCGAATGGCGGGAAAACGAGCCAAGGAAGAGGTGGTTTTCTTCCCAGCATTTTATGGGAAACACGTTCCGGTACACGCCAGCGTGCGCGGTATACACGTCAGAATTTCGTAACGTGTCTTTGCACGAGGTTAAAGTTGAACTTTTTTCGCTTCCCATGTTAAGTCAATGGGCGTTTTTGCAGAGACATTTTCATTCGCTCATTGAACAAAATAATATGATACGATTTTGTTTAAACTTTCAGGACTTGTTGAGAAACGACCATAGAAAATGTTGTTATGCTTCGTTAAGCTCTCAGAATTCGTTTGGTCTTTTTAAGCTCGTTTAAGATTGAAAATTTTTAACATGGAAAGTCAATGGGAGCGTCTTTGGTGCTTAATAACTTTGTACGTTGAAGATCTATTTAAGTGAAAAGTTGATAGGATATACAACTTTTGATGCTCTTTCCAATGATATATAGAGCGTTATTGCACGTTGTGCCGTTTTTGAGAAATTTAGGAAAAAAGCACGACTCTATCGAGATTTGAGCTCAGACCTATATATGGCCTTGGCTCAGACAGTATACGAACAGGTGACGGGGATACCTCCCATTGAAGGATGCGATTTAATGCTAAATATTAGCGGCCGGCCTCCGTGGGGACGTTTTGTACGACTTCTATCTCCGCAACCAGTGGACCGATACACTTGCGGTTTTGTGTGTGGGGTAGCGTATACCCTTCTTACAAGTATTTTACTATGGACGATGCATGCGGGTGACCCCTACTGCACGTGACACGTGTAATACGGAGAGGTGTCAGTTTTGTAATAAGTGCAATAACTCGGTAATTACTGGGCCGATTGCGCTGAAACTTGGCATGGAGGTAGTCACCGACCAGGCGATCCATTTTCATGTGCCACAGTAGGGGTGCCGCTGCACGTGCGCACGTGCAGGGTGACGCTTCCAGATCTCGAGAACGACTGGGTCGATTGAGTTCAAATTTGGTACACCGCTAGAGACCGGTTAGTAGGGTGCCGTGCGGAGGTCAGTAAGGATCAATCTTGCACGTGCGCACGTGCAGGGCGAGGCTTTCAGATCTCAGGAACGGCCGGGCCGATTGAACTCAAATTCGGCACACTTCTAGAGACCGATCAGTAGGGTGCCGTGCGCAAGTCAGTAGAAGTGCAGTGCACGTCAGTTCGTAGCACACCCATTCCGGTCTGCACGTGCAAGGCTCATCCTCTCGTTTGGCGGCGGGCGTTTTTGCGGCGTTACAGAGGTGCTTGCTCAAACAACCTGCGGTCCCGCGATGCGGAGCCCAGCATCGCAGATGCTGGGTAACCGCAGGTTGTTTGAAAAGACAAACACTATTCGTTAGAATTGTGTTTTTCTATTGAAAAACAACCGGAGCGGTCCTTCTCCGGGCTATGTTTGCAAAGTTGGCCTGAGATTGGGGCAACTTGGTCGCAGCCTAGAGTTTTGCGTTTAGGATCGTAAAAATTTCAGGGTATAGACTTTTGCAGGTGATCTACCTGATGGTACCGGTCGCTACTCGCAACAAAAATCATTGCGCGTGCCACGTGCAATTGCATTTTCCCCATGTTAAGTCAACGGGGTTTTGGACACTTTTTGCGCGATCGCCAATGGCGGGAAAACGAGCCAAGAAGGAGGTGGTTTTCTTCCCAGCATTTTATGGCAAACACGTTCTGGTACACGCCAGTGTGCGCCGTATACCCGTCAGAATTCGTTAACTTGAGTTGCACGAGTTTGAAGTTGAACTTTTTTCGCTCCCCATGTTAAGTCAATGGACGTTTTTGCAGAGGCATTTTCATTCGCTCATTGTACAAAATTATATGATACGATTTTGTTTAAACTTTCAGGACTTGTTGAGAAAAGACCATAGAATATGTTGTTATGCTTCGTTAAGCTGTCAGAATTCGTTTGTTCTTTTTGAGCTCGTTTAAAGAAGAATTTTTTTAACATGCAAAGTCAATGGGAGCGTCTTTGCTGCTTTATAACATTTTGCGTTATAGATATATTTAAGTGAAAAGTTGATAGGTTATACAACTTTTGATGCTCTTTCCAATGATATATAGAACGTTATTGCACGTTGTGCCGTTTTCCAGGTGTTGTCCATCTGAACTTGTCAGTCACGTGACCCATTTGACCTTCGGATCCGATTCTGGTAGTCAATTCTGGCGCTTTTGTTACCATAGCGAAATATGTAACGCCGTGTTCACAGTTTTCCTGACGACGAAGGTCCTGCTTAATCTGGCCAATGGCGTTCGAGAACTGCGGCCAAGCCCCGCTGATCTTGAACGTGATTGGTCGGTGGGCGTATAGAATCTCCGTCGTCAGGGAGACTGCGAACACGGGGTAAACCAAGGGGTAAACAATCTGTGCGTGGAATGGGGAGTGGTGAATGCGCAAGGGCGATGATAGGCGCTGATGTCGTCGATTTTTATTTATGCTATTATCCTTATACATTCTGATCATTTTTTATGTTCAGGAGTTTTCTCTGTTGATTTAACATAAAAAGCGGTGTGTTTAACTGTTATTGCCAAGTGCCATATTTATATTGAAATTGGGGTACAATTCAACATTCACTGGTTTTTCTATGGCCTGTTGTGCATCATATTATTGGAATGGTAATGTGAATATAGGTACTCCATACACTGCTACTTTTGGGTATATATAAATGTTTGACCTGATTTTACTTCACTTCACCTTATATTTTTTTGCAGGAACAGTTATCACACCATTATTGTGCAAAAAATAAGGGTGGTTTAACGCGGCACTCTGCCAGCCACTTTTGGCTTCCATAGACATCAACAAGCCTATGCCTCCAACACTACCAGAGGTTGACGCTAGCTCCACGGAATGTGCTGGCAGCTGCTGGCAGCGCGCCCATGAAACACAGCCAGGGGTTTCCTCTGTAAAGTCATTATTGTCTAGGTACATGAGCCTTTAGCAATTGTTAACAGCTATAAAAATTGGAATTAGAAATGTTCAGGTATTATCAGCATCAGCTAAACAGGGAAGAGAATTCGGCTACAGCCCATCTTGCAACGCCTCAATGAAATTTAACGAGAAACTTAAATTGAGGGAGCAGCTACATAACTGAGGTAAAGCCCATAAATCCTTGTGGATTTACCTACATACCTGAGGTAAATCCACAAGGCACCTTGAGTTCAAACTATGAAGTGACTCCAAGCGAAATATAGCAGAAATTGGGACTTAAACGAGCTTAGAAATAATCTGCTTAGTGCTGGATAAGTGTTTTCACTTTACCATATGTTGTTTTTTATTCAAAGTTATTGTATTGTTCATTATTGTAAAAGCCAAGCAACTTTTGCAACATTGAGGATCATACTTTAGCTTTGGAAACAAGACATAGGTATGTAGTTATGCTGATCTTCTTTTCCAGAGTCTTTGATTATCACTTAATTTCATTCACTTTTGATGTAGTGAAAATGTAGAATGAATTCACTGGAATTCACTGGGATTGTATTGTGTATGCAAGTCCAAATATTTCGGCCAATATTGTTTGGCCTTGGTCACTGGACAACTACAATAACCCTATAAGAATAGCTCACATTGCAGCGACATATTTTTGTGTCTTGTGGGGTCTCATATAGCAATAACAAGAGCAGTGACATGCATAGTTTGCTTGTGTTGTCACAACTTTGTACAATATTTCCAGCTTTATGATATGCAGTTATTAGTCACATTGGGCATCACGCATATATTTTTTCCTGCTGGAGGGAAGACACAGGAGGGATCCAGTGACTCATGTTTTTGCTTCTATCGCTTCACCCCTGGGGAATCAGTTCCTACACCCCTTGAGTATAATGGTCACCAAGGGGTGCTGTCCTGACACGTCCACTTTCTGTTGAGAAGGTTAGAACAAACACCATGTGTGTCATTTAGTTGCACATATAATACCTCAATGTTAAGTCTGCATAAAGTCTGAAGTCTGTAGCCACTCTTAATCCTAGGTTGTCGTGACTTTAATCTAGCCTGGGTGGATATTTTGCTGTGCTAAAAGCACGGACTGCGTTACGCCCCAGCACGGCGGCCGGGGCGCCTCCCCTGGAAGAAAACGGCACCGGCCTTTGAACCACCTTATGATATACTAGTATCTAAAGTATTTGTCCATCAGGATCAGTTATCTAATGGCAGTAGACTGTTGTCTTCACATACTTCATATCTATTTTGGCTACTGCATTGTGTTCTGTAAAAAAATATGAAAACGTTTTGGATGTAGTTTTTAGTGGAATGCTTCTTTACAGATCCCGAAAGAAGATAACAGCTTGTTTTCTTCACCGCCACCAGTCTACCTGCTCTCTGCACACTCGGCAGAGCGCGGCAGGGCACCCCACGGAGCTGCACTAGTCACATCCGGGCCCCACGCCGGTCGACGGCCGATGCGCCGCTGGGAGGCCTGCGGCGCGGACGACGGATGCGGCAGTTGGTCAAGACACGGCAGCCTACTCGAGGTGCTTCTCGCCTGGAGGACGCAGGCGAATCGCGTTATCCGAGCTGTGCCTCGTCATGGTGCGATGAGCCTTAATAGACTAATGCATATTCTTCCTTTGGCTGTAATTCATTTGCTGCTGCCCGCTGGGCTAAGGAGTAACTCTGGGCGCCTACTTTGGGCAGACGCTCGTCCAGTGCCGCTCTTCGTTTGCCGCACATATCTTTATTTATTCTTTGTTACAATTCCGTCTTTGGTCATTTTTTTTACCATGGGGGCACTTGAAAGTTTTGTTTTTAAATCTGTGGACATTGAACCTGGAATCGGTTTTATGTCGGATTTCGGTTTTGTTTTTGCACTGTGGAAATATCTCGTTCAATATTTTTAAAGGAAAAGGGCCACCTTTAACATGGGGATTGAAACTGAGATAGCCATCTTGTAGCCCGTGTCCGAAAACCTATTTGTCTACCTCCTTACGGCCGATTTCGGCCTCCATTCGTAGTTATCGGCAATTTTAAAAGAAAATACGCCAGGAATGCGTTCTTATCCCAGGAATGCGTTCTTATCCGACAATACAGCCACCCGCGGCGAGGCTTTGGTTTTTTACCAATCAGCTCCAACCAGCTCAGCTTTAACCAATCAGCTTATCTGACACAATCCGACGAGTCTGTCTTCTGAACGCTGATTGGTTTGAGTGTGACGTCATCGCTATGCCATCATACAGTAGGTGCCGTAGAGAGTATCAACATAGTACCAATATGTTAAATAGTTTTAAATACTTTTTCGCAAATTGTGCACTTCTGGCACCAGTTTTAAAAAGAAAATGAAAAATAATAATGTCAAAATGAAAAACAACGATATCTTCATATTTCACGAAGGTGGCCCTTTTCCTTTAAGATAGGGCGTGCTAAAACTTTTAGTCTCATTACTCCTCTGTGCATCTAAATTCTAAAGTACTATAATGTGCATCTCAAGTGTTTGGTGCTGTACTGTTATTATTTATGGTTAATCCAGTGCTGTACTGTTATTATTTATGGTTAATCCAGTTTTTATTCGATTGAATCGTTGTGTGTAGTGCATGACATCCGCGTACCGCCTGTAGCAGTGTTATATATTTTCATTTATGCTGGAAAATAATAACTTTCTTGTTCATTGGCTTTATTCGATGACAGAGACGTGCCAGATGACTGGGGCGGCGACTTGACTTGGTAGTTGTTAACGTTGCAAACTTCAACCATCAAGCATGATGTGGAAACGTCACATTCCGTTATCAAATCTTCGTACCGTAAATACTGAATAAGATCAATACTAGGCTGGAGCTTGCTAGAAAAACCGTGCACTGACAACGGCGAGTGGTGGACCTGAGTAGCGGCCGGGAGGCAGGGAAGTCAGCCAATTGTCAGATGTCTATTTCTTCACACATCTAGCGGCGCTACCAGGACTCAAGGCAGAGCTGATGACAGCAGTTGCAGAGAAGGTGTCGCAGCAGGTGGCGTCCCATATCAGGCTCATTCCTCGGCTGAAAGGGGAGAGCGTTATCCCATCGGGACGTCGGCCGTCACCTCTGTCAAGGCCGGTGGGCTCTAAAACACTCGAGCCCTGTGCTGCTGAGTGCCCGCCGCAGCACGTCATTAAGGTTGGCGTGACGTGCGTGGCGGCCAGCACTCTTGGCACAGGAGAGACCGTGGTGGCCCAGTCGATCAGCAGGACGACGGCAGAGCTGGCAGTTGTGCGGTCACATACCGGTGCCCCGAGTCGCAGCGCCACTGCTACCCGGACGGTTTCGTCCTCCAGGTGGAGTCCCAGACTGGTGACTGGGAGGGCTTGCACCCAGGCGGCGGTGTGGGGCTCTGCGGCAGCAAGAAGACGCACCCGGACCACCTGGTTTGCCCCATCCAGCAGACGCTGCTGAGACGTCTTAGAGAACGCCTCATCCCAAGCGCGCTGCTTGCCCTCTTCTGACCATTAGTTATACCACGGATCACCTTATGTGACACCTTATAGGCCCGGGCAGTATGTGATCCGTGGTTATACCCAAGTCTATGTTAACTTATTTTTTTATGCGTATTTATACCTATGCCCATTTTATTTGCCGGATACGCTAGAGCCATCTTAGCATAGAAATAAGCAGTGGCGCGGGAACCGGGGGGGCTAGGGGGGGGCTGAGCCCCTCCAACTTTTCGGCTGGGGGGGCTCGTAATGTATTTGAGCCCCCCCAGCTGGAGGAATCGAAATCGAAAATCTACCAACACAATTTCATAGATTCATACATAGGCGCGGGAACCGGGGGAGAGGGCAGTGGGGGAAGCTTGCCCTCACAACTCTGGGGCCGTGGGGGCGGTGCTTCACAACTTTTCATGAGGCCAGGAACCGTTGGGGCAGCTTGTCCTCCCCAAATTAGGGGTTGTGAGTCACAAAGGAAGAAAGCATGTGAGTGAAAAATCTACCTATTTTACTGACTCGGCAACTCATTTGGCAGCTTAAAACCTTTATTCCAGGCTGCCAAAACGGTTAGTTTCTTCACTCAGCTGAGACGGAATACCTCACTTTTTTTGCAAATATTTTCTTCTTTTTTTTCGTTGAAAAGGCCAAGGTCTGAGAAATAAGTGGCCTAAAACCGATGAGAAAACTAGATTTAGGGGTACCCTAGGTTGTATAATTAGATAAATAAAAGAAGTTGACCTTTTCCTCGACATCAAAAATGTAAAAAGCCGAATAATATATTTTAAAAAACGGTGAGCTTTCGGCCACTGGCCTTTATCAAACCAACGTGATAACAATGTTAAAAGACGATCCTGTGAATAATCTGTCTGCCATTTTTCAAAAACCGAAGATCGTGATATTTTAGGAAAGGCGCTACTCATAAGGGCAAACTATTAGATAGACCGATTGTCTACATAGTGTCCGATGTAGACAATCGGTTTTTGAAAAATGACAATCGGTTTTTGAAAAATGGCAGACAGATTATTCACAGGATCGTCTTTTAACATTGTTATCACGTTGGTTTGATAAAGGCCAGTGGCCGAAAGCTCACCGTTTTTTAAAATATATTATTCGGCTTTTTACATTTTTGATGTCGAGGAAAAGGTCAACTTCTTTTATTTATCTAATTATATTCAATATGTTCCTCGCTCGAGCACTTAGTAATAGTACCCTAGGTTGATCTCTATGATGGTTCAGCCCCCCCAGTCTGGAAGAAGTTCCCGCGCCACTGGAAATAAGTATTGTATAAATTGTATTATACCTCTAATGGGTATGAAAAATTTTCTAGCCTGAATCTTCAATGCAAAGCAATGTCAAGAGTATTACATAAATAAGAGTTTTACGCTTAGGCCAAAACTTTTGTTTTTTGCTTATTTCTGTTTATTAAATAAAATTATTTTTTTAAATATATGTTAACATATTCAGCTACATTTTGTCTAAAAATTGTTTAAAGATATCAATAAACCACGATGGCACAACTCAAACACCAAGCAGAAACTGTCACGTGACTGCCTGGCCCCAGGGTATGGTATATTCTTGTCGGGACTCGGTCGGGACCCTTGACGGAGATGTTGATTGAGGTGTCATTTGTGAGAGAAGATTATTTTAAAGTTTCGTTAGACATTGTTGCTGTCTAATTTCATTGAAACTTGTGAGTTTTCTGTGCTTGGTTTCGCTAGAAGACTTTGAAGACTCGGGAAGAACAGACACGGGTGAGTTTGACGCTGCCCTGCCACGCTCGACCATCTTCGTCGGCTCGACTAACTTGTTTAGCGTCTGTTAACTTTTTCGAAAGGTAGTTAGGCAAGAAACATGAATTTCGCAAAAATCGTCCTTATTGATAGTCAAATGGTCGCTCTGTTTTGCAACATTCATTATGACGCCGAGGATAACAGATTCTGGTTATATGCTCCGAAAAATGCGCATCTGAGACAAACGCGAGTTGTTTACAGCTTTGATTCACGTTGCTAGGTGGTTGCTATGGAGCTATGGATACTTCCTTGCAGAGTAACTTGCATTTTGGTGTCTTATGTGATATCGACATATGCCACCCCTAATAGCTCAATTAATGCTGATAACAGTCCGGCGCACTGTGGTATCTCCGATTCATTTATGGAGACATTTCTTTTATTGGAAACGTTTCCAATTTTGACTACTCTTCTGTTCCAAAAATGGAAACGCTTGTTCCATAAATAGAAACGCTAACATTTCCGCACAAATTTTCTTGCCAAGGGTGGCTGGATTTGATGTAGGTATAACCACTGTTTTGCGTAAGACAAGCACGGATACACCAAAAGCACTTGTCTTCTTGCATGGAAAGCTGTCGTATGCATTCAAATTCACCACTTAAAAATGCTCCTGAATCATATCCATTTATGGAGACTTTGTTTCCAAAAATGGAAACGCCGATGTTCCAAAAATAGAAACGCTGAAGTTCAAATGTGTGCAAATTTAGCTTAAAGGAACTATCCCACCTTCTAAAATGTTGTTAAAACCAGTTAAATTGTGGCCGACTTTATAGATTGGATGATATGTGACGTCACAGCCCAAAATTACCTCCTTCCCCAGGGCCCAGGCCACATTACTGTCATAAAGCTGATTCTTTTTACTCTGTAGGCACTATAACAAAGCTCAGACCAAGTTTTAAGCGATTTTTCAACGAACAAACCCATTTAAATCAGAATGACTAAACGAGGTAACGTCAAACTAACGGTCGCTCCATGTTTAAGATAGGGCCTGGCGCAAGGCCCATTTTCAAATGAAGGGAACAAATTTCTTCAACACCAAGAGGCCGCGGGGGTTGCAACCTAGATAGATAGTGGTTTCTGAACCTCGCCGCAAACTTGGCTATCTCAACTCAAACCCCATGTTAAAGGTGGGATAGTCCCTTTAAATGTGTTTTTTAAAATTCACATGCAACTAAAAATTGATGTTTTGGGACTGGTTTAGCATCTCTGCTCTCAGCAGTTACCTTGGACGTCGGGTTTGGTACTAATATATTACGCGCTGCAACTTAGCTCATTCAAAAGTCAACTAAAACTAAGATTTCCTAGAACCTACTGGACAAATGTGGTCCAAAGTGGGCAGTACATAAAGCGTAGATATCATTTCAATATATAAAATTGATATCAATGTTACACATGAGCTAGAATGAATAAATTCATCGTCAGAATACGACGGTATTTGGTGTGACGACTGTGCAGACCTTATTTGATTAGAAAAACTTGTGAATTTTTTTATCACGTTAACATGTTATAAGCATCGCCTCGTTTGTCGACTTTCGGTTTCTGATCGGAAATTCGGAGAATAGGAATATAAACTAGAATGCTGGCTGTCGATGGTGGCATCCTGCGCATGCCAAATTTCAGCAAGCAATGCCCAGTTTGCTTTAAAGGTTAGCGATGCACGCAGCGTCTCCATTTATGGAACAGACCGTTTCTATTTTTGGAAACGGCGTATCCATTTTGGAACATGTTCTAAAAAATGGAAACGTTCCAAAAGGTCGGAAATACTACAGTGTGCCCGACTGATAATTATTGTGGATGTTGAAGAGGATGCTGAAATGTATGAAAGAGCTCTGCAATCCTTGTTTTAATTAGTTAAAGCAGTCAAGCTACATAGAGTGGCATTCAAAAGTGGTGTCAAAAATCTTGTCGGACGTTTTTACCTTCAACTTGGGCGTTGTTGGCCACCCTGCTATTTTTATTGCAGGTGAATTAAAACCGCAATCAATTTACATAAATCAAAATTACAGCTTATGGTGCTGCAGGTACCTGAACGAACTTTCAAAAACGGGTGTAAACAGAAAAATGTAGGTGGTGAACCCATGACAGTCTTCGAGTTATTCTCGATTTTTGTAGAAAAAAAAGAATACTTGCCACGCAATGACAGAGGGCTTTATATGTTTAATGTGTATGCAATACATTAATTCGAGCCGGCAGGGAAGGGGGATGTGTGGACACAAATGTCAGTTTGTTTTCTTCTTATGTGTAACAAAAACCATGGCAACGCCAGTAGGAGATAATTGAAAATTGCTATTTAAACGAAAACACCCTCAAGCATTGTGGTTTTACCTTGAGGTTTCGGGATTTTTTAGGGAAATGGCCTGTGGTACCGATCTTTATCGAGCTCCTGGGATTGTGGCTTTACGAGAATCAATCAGGATCAGGTGG